AGCGGTTATCTCCATGTACTTGATTAATTCCAACTTGGCGTGTTCATTTCAAAAGCTAATTAGTAGTAATGAGGAAATGGAAACGGTTAAACATCTCGCCATAACCTATAAACCACTAATAGACAACACGCTAGGTCGGTCATAATCAGCTAATATCGGCTGTGGACAGAAAAATGGAAACGGGATCAGGCTATACCGCAGACGTTTTCTGATCTGATAATGCATAAAAAAGCTTCTGTGTATTCTTGCTACACTACCAGTCAGTGTAGCGACGGTAGAGAGGTCCTTCTCCACACTTAGGAGGCTGAAAACTTGGCATCAATGGCGGAAAACCGTCTAACAGGATTGGCGCTTCTCCACATTCATAAAAATATTCCTGTTGATGTGGAAGAAGTAATTATCCGTTTCGCGAGAAGGCAGAAGAGAAAATTGATTTCGTTATTTAATTTGAAGTAAGTATTAAAATGTTAAGTATAAGGGGTTAAAGAAAAGGTCCTTTATTTCTCAAAAGTCAATTTTAATTGACTTGTGAGAAATAAAGGACCTTTTATTTAACCCCTTATACTTAATCCCTACTACTCATATATGGCTACCCTCACTCCACATTAAAATGTTGGTCTTACAAGTTGTTCCAAGTTATTTATCTACTAAATTGATATTAATAGATTTTTTGAGTAAATATTTTTTGCGTTTTTTTTTTCATCTTTGGGAGAGGGCCTTTGATGGTCTGATGTGACCCCCCCCGACTAAAAGGCTGGATCCGCCCTTGTTATCTACAAGTGCTTTTCTTCCATATCTAAAATCCGGTAAAGTCATATCTGATTTTAAATAATTATAGAGCAATTACTAACATCTCTTGCTTTTTAAAAAATCTATCTAGTTATTAGTGGCTTTTTCCGGTTATTTTGTACAACCTATTTCAGCACCTCTAAATGTTTAGAGGATAAACTAAATATATACATTTTCCACATACATCTACCTTGAAACATTTTTTTATAGATATTCATTGAAACGAAAATACTGAAAAATTTAAATTTAGCTTTTCTACAATTTTTTCATTACGGTCCATTTTAGAAAAATCATGTGAAAACAAAAATTATAGAGATCGATATCGCAAACAACTTTTAGTTCAACAATTTTCATAAAAATTAGAATTTTGCACATTTTGTCAAATTTCTCGGATACGGACCATTTCAGGAAATTTTAACATAAAGCAAAAATTATAGATAATAATATTAGAAGTAACTTTTATTTGAACAATTTTTTTCTCCAAACATAATTAACAGATATATTCCATAAAATATAAAAACAGCCTCTCATAAAGTACCCCCCAGATGTTCCGACTTTGTCCAAAATCTAATAACTTTTATTTGAACAATTTTTATAAAAAATTATTTTTTTTTACATTTTGTCAAATTTATCGAATACAGACCATTTTAGGAAAATTTTGTATGGAACAAAAATTATAGATATTAATATTAGAAGTAACTTTTATTTAAAGAATTTTCTTCTCCAAACGTACATAACAGATATATTCCATAAAATATAAAAATGACCACCTATAAAGTAACCCCCAGATGTTCCGACTCTGCCCAAAATCTAATCAATTCATTGGACGCCGAAATAAAGCTTAAGTTTAAAATTTGGTGTTTTTCTGTGTATCGGTTCATGAGTTATGATGGATACAGACACACACACAAACACACACACACACACACACACACACAAACACACACACACACACACACACACACACACACACACACACACACACACACACACACAAACACACAGAGAGAGAGAGAGAGAGACATCATCGCGAAAATAGTCAAAACGGATGCAGGGGACCTCAAAATGTAAAAATCCGTCGAAAACTCGAGGTCGAAAAAAAAAATGATTTCTATACTTTCCTTATATCTGTATAAAGATAGGAAAGTAAAAATGTATTTGATTATTGTTTTCTCATAGACTTCTGAGTTTTACAGTGGGTCATAACATTTTTTTCAGACACTAAACATGGTTTTTAGTCAGGAAGTTCAACAAATACTGTAATTTTACAAAACTGTGACCGAATTTATTGAATCAAGCGAATGCCCTCTTTGGATATTTTATGATCTCAGCAAAGCATTTTACTGTATACATCATGATCAGCTTTTATCTAAATTACAACTGTATGCAACCACTGGTGTTCCACTAAATTGTTTAGATTCATTTTGGAGAAAATATTAATTATTCTATTAAACAGTCACTCTGGGTTTTGCACAAGGATCCAGTCTGAGACCTATGCTATTTTTGTTTTATACAAACCACTTAGATAATACTAATGCTAATGCTAATTTTATTAGATACTCCAAAGACACAACTGTTCTTATTTCAAATAGATCTGAAGTAACTCTAGGAAGAAATTATTTGTCAGCTTTGGATGACTTAATTTCGTGGTGCAATAATAATTTATTTTTATTTATTGGTGACAAGACAAAGGGCCCGTTCACTTTCATTTTTGAATGTGAATTATTTATAAATTTATAAAGATATTAAACTCTTTTGTCTGGTGGTACTTTTCCCGTTAAGATATTTTTGCTAGAAGTAAGGGAATTCCCATAAAATTCTTTCAGTGACTCATTGCGTCAGAAAACCCCTAATTCCCTTCAGGTCTTGTATCGGTTAATAGTTAAAAGGGCGCGGTTGTCGGATGTATCATTGCACCACCATTTCTCTTCTGCATTTATTAAAGAAATTTACATGATAAAAATATATTATTTTTTAAAAATAATGTGTTTATATTTTCAGATAAAGCTAGAAGCCTTACCTTTTTTAAATTTTAATAAAAACAATTAGTATTACTCAAGCTGAATATTACCAGATCGAAATTTTATTTGAGAAAATGTATCTGGTAAACGTGACAACGTTGTAAGTACTTCTAAATAGTGTTGTCTACCACTTCTAGAAATAAATGCAACGTTGCCACGTTTACCAGATAAATATTGCAAATCAAATTTCTACTTTTTGATTATGGTCTGGTTAATTTTCAGCCTGAGTAATAATAATTGTTTTAATTAAAAAGTAAAAAATAAGCTCCCAGCTTTAAATCTGAAAATACAAGTTCATGATTTTTAGAAAAATAATGGAATTTTACTATTTAAATTACATATATAAATGCAGAAATGCTATATTAGGGATACTTCCGACAAGCTCCGTCTTTAAGCATAGCCGATACGAGAAGTGAACGGAATTAGGGATTTTCTGACGCAATGAGTCACTGAAAGAATTTTATGGGAATTCCCTTACTTCTAGCAAAAATATCTTAACGGGAAAAGTACCACCAGACAAAAGAATTTAATATCTTTATAAATATATAATTAATTCACGTTCAAAAATGAAAGTGAACGGGCCCAATATGATTTGATTCTATAATTATTAACAACACTATGTTGACCCATAATATATTTATCAATATTATATTTCTTAAGCCCACATGTAAAGTAAACATTTTAGGCCTAATCTAACCTAACCAAATTTCTCACTTTTTGCATAAAAATTACGTTATCGAATTTGATTTTGGGGTGTTTTTACTAGAACACATGATGTCTTGAAATTCAAAAACGTATTATGCGGTGTTTGATATTGAATGATTTCCACAAGCACTGAAGTGAGTTTTTAGGACACCAATATGATTTTAAAACCAACCGCTATTCAACCACATTCTAGTAATGTAAATATACTGGAATAATACAAATTCAGAAACGTGAGAAAATTTATTAGTTGTATGTTGGGTTGAATTTGGATGTAGTGAGTGTTTGAATTATTTGTATGTTTTAGTCAATCCATATCTTTATTAAAGTAGTTTATAATGACGGAAACCATGTAAAGTTTCTCGTTATACGAGTAGGTAATTTAAATTTTTGACATCTTTTGTAGCGGAACTTTCTAATTTATTACCAAATACATATTTCCACGTTGACTTTATTCCACCATAATACTATATTTATATTAATTTGTAAATATGTTAATTTGTTCTCTTATTAGTTTAACTAAGTGCTTAGAACGCATTTTTAATGAGTACTCCAAGGGAGAACATATTTTCTATTAAAAAAATCGGTTAAGATCCGTAAAACTTAAATGCAATTTTAAAAATATGAAAGAAAATAGATAACCCCCCGAAATTATGAAAAATATTCCTCCATATCCCTAAAATGAAAACAACGTCATAATACGTAAATAACCGCTGTAATATATGATAACAACGACATGAATCATTCAAATGGTAATAATTAAAGATAAAGAAATCGCAGAGTAAGTGCTATTGAATTAGAGAGTCAAAATTGAATACACAACCCTAACTGTTTTTCACTACATCTCGAAAACGAAGCAAAATTTAAATTAATTGGATTTTTTTGCAGAGAATGCGATTTCTCACACCCACACCCAGCCAAAAACAACTAAATTATAGTGACACTACAGAAAACGTACTAATGTCATTTAACTTTCTGCAAGACATAAATCGCACGTAACTTTCGTCGGATATTGGTTTACGGTACGTTATCAAATCTTTAATTCCTAGATTCGGAAGAACCTGGATGATTCCCCTACTTCTACAAATTTTTGTCTGTGTCGGAAAACAACTTAATAAAAGACATTGCTTATTTTTTCGTAAAGCATACGACTAATATACAAGTTAATGAAATGGCAACATAGAAACAAACAGTCGTTTAATATTGAAAAGAAAATTTATAATGTAGAAATCACCAGATCTATAACTATCCTTTCCATATTTTACCTTGTGATTGTTTTTGTTACTTGCTGTTTCTGCTTGTGCAAAATATGCTTCTTAATGTTACTTTGTTGTCGTTGTATTTATACTTGAAAACTACGTTAGAATTTTTAGGTGCAATTCTTTAATCAATGATTTTGACCATGAGATTACTAACCCTAATGCATTTTGTGTAACAAAAATATTTCATCACAAATGATAATAAAAACAGCAGACTGTAAAAACTTACATAAACTTCCAATGCAAAACAGGCCACAACCACAATGATGAAGATATTCCAGTTCATTTTTGAATTTACCAAGTAACTTTGTTCTTCAAACTGTGAATGGACTGAAGTAAGTCCAGCTAATTGCAATTATATTTAAGTATGTTACTTTATGTTTTGACTCATTATGTAACGATTATGTTAATGATTATCCCTGATACCTCATGCAGTAGCGCACAAACAAAAAAAAACAAATAAGTAAAACTAGAATAATGTTGGAAAGGTTATATTTTTTGGGTTAAATTGGAACCGGATATGATTTAAAACGAAAGGAACATATTATGTTGCATAGAAGTTTTATTATTCTATTAAATGATTTTATTTTATTTTTATTACAAACCGATTTAAGTGTATAAGTACTTCTGCTTTTTTTTTAAGAAGTAGAATTGTACAATTATTTTAATTTTATTCATTACACAAAAAAGTCCCATTTTAGGACAATGTCCACCATTATTAATCAGACCTAAACTATGAAGACTAGAGATAAGTAGACAAATCGGCTTTCTCGAAATACTGTCCCAAAAAACGAACGCATGGGCGCTAGTGTTGCAAGCGCTGTTAAAAATGCTTGGCGTCTTATGGGAATTTTGTGAAAATAATAAAAATAATCTTTTTACTTTCCTATCTGTATACAGATATAAGGAAAGTATAGGAATCATGATTTTTTTCGACCTCGAGTTTTCGACGGATTTTTACGTTTTGAGGTCCCCTGAATCCGTTTTGACTATTTTCGCGATGCTGTGTGTGTGTGTGTGTGTGTGTGTGTGTGTGTGTGTGTGTGTGTGTGTGTGTGTGTGTGTGTGTGTGTGTGTGTGTGTGTGTGTGGGCGCGTGTGTGTGTGTGTGTGCGCGCGCGCGCGCGCGAAATTTGACAAAATGTAAAAAAATATTTTTTTTTATAAAAATTGTTCAAACAAAAGTTGTTTGTAATATAATTCTCTATAATTTTTATCCTATAGATAATTTCTCTAAAATGGACCGTATTCGAGATATTTGAGAAAATGTGTAAATTTCGAATTTTGAAGAAAACTCAAAAACGGATAAAACAAAAAACCTTAAATTTTAAACTTAAGTTTTATTTCGGCCTGACGTGAAATGATTAGATTTTGGACAAAGTCGGAACATCTGGGGGGATACTTTATGGGAGGCCGTTTTTATATTTTATGGAATATATCTGTTATTTATGTTTGGAGAAAAAAATTGTTCAAATAAAAGTTACTTCTAATATTATTATCTATAATTTTTGTTTTATGTAAAAATTTCCTGAAATGGTCCGTATTCGAAAAATTTGACAAAATGTGCAAAATTCTGATTTTTATGAAAATTGTTAAAATAAAAGTTGTTTGCGATATCGATCTCTATAATATTTGTTCATACATGATTTTATTCAAATGGACCTTAATGGAAAAATTGTAGGAAAAGTGCTAAATTTAAATTATTCATTATTTTCATTTTCAATGAATATCTATAGAAAAATGTTTCGCGGTAGATGTATGTGGACAATGTATATATTTAGTTTATCCTCTAAACATTTATAGAGATGCTGCAATAGGTTGTACAAAATAACCGGAAAAAGCCTGTAATAACTAGATAGGAAAGTCATGTGTTGTACACATCAGATTTTTATTGCTAAATAAAGCACATAACATACTGTTGTATTTATTTCTAAATAAGTCTTTTAATTGATAAATTATTTAATTTTATGTATATAAAATACAAATTAGGTAGGAATGAGCAAATTTAAAAAGGTTTGTTGAATGGTGAAATTTTGTAAGTACAATTTTGTGGCTAATTTTTTTGAATTAAACCTAAATAGTGTTTTAAGAGCAAAATAAAACACAGTTTAAAGATTTTTTATTGTTTTAATACAAGCATAGAGGGAGATTTGGGAAGGTACATGGTATTACCCCATCCTTTAATTTCAGCCTTTTCCTATTTATTTTGCTAACAGTACCGTCAGTAAAAAGAGTCTCATAATATTTGGAAATATTGTAATGTGAGCCATTTCATTATTCAGTCATGCTCTAATACTCCAAGTCCCTCTCTGTATTATTTGGCCTCTGAGGCTCAACTTTTCCGCTTATTATACATAATTAAACCCCTTAAGACCAAACCTATGGGACGACTATGGTGGAGATGCTTTCGATGATGTTCGAGAAAGAACGAGATAATGTTTCTAGTGTATTGGAGAGAATATGTGAACTTACTAGAACATTCGCCAATTTTTTAAATTTGTATAAATATTGATGGAGGATCCATCAGAGTTAGTTATTATATGGACAGTGAAGATAAATAGTAATTAGTAAGTAGACAGTGGTAAATATAAATAGTGATCAGTTTAAAGACATTCGAAGTATATATAAATTAGAATAGTTGTGTTATAAAATAAATAAGTGTTTAAATAAATTAATAATAAATAAACTTTTGTTTTAAAGTAAACAAACATCACAATATCTTCTAAAAGGCGTAGAACAGCATCATCTCTAGAAAGTGCTTTATCGGCCCTAGGAACGATATATTTATATGCTGCCACTGTTCTTAGCGTTTATGATCCTATAAAAACATTTACATTAACAAAATTGGGGTTCAATAAAAAAATAACAGTAGTAACTCTTCATCTAACATTAAAACAAATTTTCTTTTTTGTAAGTTAAATTTAATGTGTAATTGTTGTTTAAATGCCGGATTTATAACTGTGAAATTTTATATAATAGAAACTTGTAATAAAATTATACTCCGTAATTTGAAGCTTTGAAAAAACATTGTATTGATTTCTTCTTGTTTTCTTCAGTTTTACATCTGATTTGTATCCCATTTTACAATCTGGAACAAAGCAAATTTTGCATTGATATTTTTTGTCACTCATGTTACTTGTACTCAGGTACTGTTTTCACATTATTTTATTCTTTTCACCATTTAAAAAAAATACTTAATTTTACATTGACTTACATAGAAAACTGACAGCGGTGCCGTTCGACCTGCCAAATACAGTCGATATGGCAAACTTTATAAGAAGAAGAAGAACGGAAATTTGAAATTTGACCATTGCCGAATCGCCTTCGTCTCTCTCTTTATATGTAATACATACAATAGTAGAAAATATAAATAAACCCAGCGACCACGGTAAACATTGCGTTAGATAGATGAAAAGATGAGACTCAGTAAATAAGGTAGTACTCACCGTAAATATGCAAAATTATAAAATTAGAACAGGTAAACTATGCTGGATGTTCTTCAGAAACAAGAGTCTATGGTGAAGAATAAAGGGCGACAGTAACTTAGTAACTGGTAACAGGTGAAATACCTCCCTGGGAGTATATATCGTCTCTGTCCAGACAAATTATCGTATGCGCCATTTAAGTAATTTTACCAAAACTGTTTTTTCCACTTTTTTGGAGATATTTTATATTATTATCGAATGATGTATTACTAGAGATAATAAGCCATGATTTTAGGGCTAATTGCTAAAAACTATACTTATTGGGTAAAATAAAGGTCACTTAAGATATTTTATAAAGGCGGCTGCGATATTTAATAACCTAAAACTGCCGTTAAAATTAAGAATCTAAACAAAAAATATATCATAAGTGACGGGTGAATACAATATTTATATTGAACATTGTGGGCCTTGAGGTGTTACAATCCATGCAATGTTTAAAAGGTTTTGGAATTTTGGCTATATAATAAAACGTAAGCGACATCAGCTTACGATATTTTAGGAAGACTGGTGGATACAAAGTGACAAATGTTGATAATATTGTACCTTGCGCTATTTTATGATTTGTGGGCGTATACGACGGAGAACTTATAAATTGAAATTTGATGTTTTATGAGTTTTGTATCGTACAATATTTTTTTGAGTCGATCACAGTTTCGCAAAAAATGTCGCTTACGATACTTTGCCTGGTCAGGGACGATATAAAAAATGAAGGATGGTTAACTATCTTTAAAATTACATGATGCAGATAAATTAAGTAGCAATAAAAAGCAGATAAAAAAAATGTAGCAATATTTCAAAATCTGGACGAAACAAAAATAGAAATACTATTATTTATCGATTGTATACACAATATACTGACAATTATTATTTTGACAGAATTGCCACTTGTTTAAAATTTTAAAAATAATTGTAGTTGGGTGAACAAAATATAAACTGTGATTGGTGTAATTAATTTTTTTGGATTGTTCTCACTACCTAGAATGGATATAAAACATATTCGTTCAGTTGAACACCATAGCATACTTTTTCGTTTTGTAGTCAGTGCGTAGATAAGCTTATATCCATGTATGTAAAGAAAAAAATAATATCGAAATTCGAGTCTCTATATTGGTATCTCACCTATTATAAGAGATAGAAGGTCGGTTAAATAGGGAATTATTAAAAGTTATGTAGTTTTTCACTTATTTTATAAATTGAAAATACCCGATTTTGCTTTTGTTTAATGGCGGTTAATTTGACCTGTTGTAACGATATGTCTTTCATACCGTTATTTTTCAAACACCTCTATTGCCCTTCGATGACAATTCTGTCTGTCAGTCGAAAAACATTTTACGATTTACTTTCTATTTGAACTTGGAGTCGAAGAGGCTAATTTTAAATTATCGAGATGGTCCTCTAATAAAGAGAATATTTTTCAATTTAAAATTTCATTAGTTTAAATATGATAAGTACTAGGTATATTTTTTGATTTCATACACTGGTTTTCAAATTTTAATTTTAAGGTTATTTTTTTGTGGGTCGAATGTTTGGAATATTGGTTTTTGTAAAATATATTACACAAAATGTTCGTCTCGTCCTTTCTACTTATCCGATTGTCCATTAATTTTATGTTTAAATTAAAAAAAGATTGAGATTATCACCTTGTTATATAAAGAAGGATTTGC